GAGACTACCTGAGTGAAGCCTGTGACAGTCATGTACTATTCACAGGGCTTGGGCATAGGTGCCTACAACTTCAATTAGCAGGGAACAAGTATGTAAAAGGGGCTATACTCTCTGGCCACATTTTCAAGGTATCTTATGGACTTGCTTTCACCCTGCTTCCTAAAAAGAATTCTTGAGATCCTTTGTTCAACATATTGCCTTTAAAAACACTGCTGAATACATATGTTCACAGCAGCATTATTTACAAGTAAAAGGTGGGAACAACCCAAGTGTCTATAGATAGATGAATGGGTAAGTGAAATGTAGTTATACATACAATGAAATATTATTTAGACCTGAAAAATAAGAAAATTCTGACACTTTACAACATTGATGAACCTTAAAGACATTATGCTGAGTGAAATAAGCTAGTCATACAAAGACAAATTATGATTCCACTTATATGAGAAATCTAGAGTAATCAAATTCATAGAAACAGAAAGTAGATCAGTGGTCTCCATCAGCTGTGGGTAGAGTGGCATGTTGTTTAATGGGTACAGAGTTTTAGTTTTGCAAAGTGAAAGTAGTTATGGAGATTGGTTGCACAATAATGGGAATGTACTTAACACTACTGAACTGCACTGTAAATGTTATGTTACATGCATTTTACCACAGTTAATTTTTTTCACTACTGAAAGAGGCCACTTGTAGAGAAGATATCTCAAGGGAGAGCGACCACTTACCCTGCCAGCTCCACTCTGGCTAAGATCACCTCAACAAGGTCCTTTATCACTTTACAAACAAAAACCAGGCAGACCTCCTTTATACCTAAGCTGCTTTGTGGTAGGGGAAGTTATGGTAAGGTTCAAGTCTACCTACTGCTTGACAGTAATACAGTGCACATTTTCTAATCATTAAGGCGGATGAGGACACAAAGATCATGAAATAAAAAATTACTGGGGTAAAAAACACTAAAGGAAGAAGGTGGTGATTCATAGCAAAAAACAAACAAAAAAAAACAAGCAAGCAAAAAAATATAAAGAAAGTAAGCCCATGGCTTGGAGTTCCTTATTAGGAAATAGAGGCAGTAGAGATTAAGTCCAAGTAATGATGTACTTGTAATGCTTTTCAGTAAATGCGTTCTATCTTGCAAAAATGAATGAATGAATGAATGAATGAATGAATGAATGAAAGAAAGAAAGAAAAATAAATGCAGTACACAGAAGAAACAGGAAAGAAGGTGGGTGGAGGAAAAGAGAACAATGAGAGTAACCTATAGGTAGGAAGAGTAAAAAAATCTCAGGGTACCCTACCTGCTATGATAGGATAAACCAAACGCCCCAGTTTAGTGCCTTCAACATTGCCACTGTGATGCTATTAGGGGAAACCAATATAATTCTTTGAAGGAAGCATTAACTATAAAATAAATTAAAGGCTTTGTTCCTTCCTTTAAAAAAATGAAAAAATATAAACTTGGAGAATTTGGGAAGCTAGTTATCTAACTTACAGGCATAAGCATCAAAATAATATTAAATTCCAAGTATTCAGTACTCAAGAGTATCTAAAAGTCTCCAATTTTAAAATATTAGAATGAATGATACTTCTAGGATATAATTCTCCAACCTGGCTCTTAGTTTTCTTAATCTGGGAGGACAAGGCACCAAGGCTATAGCATATCCCAGTGATGGTGAACCTTTTGAGCTTGGCGTGTCAGCATTTTGAAAAACCCTAACCTAACTCTGGTGCCGTATCACATATCGAAATTTTTTGATCTTTGCAACCATAGTAAAACAAAGACTTTTATTTTTGATATTTATTTTATATATTTAAATGCCATTTAACAAAGAAAACCAAAAAAATGAGTTCGCGTGTCACCTCTGACACGCGTGTTATAGGTTCGCCATCACTGGCGTATCCTCACCCAAGGAAGGAAAAGGTCAAGAACCCCCAGCACTGGTGTCCTCAAGTGAGTCAGTAATGGAGGGGATGGGGAGAGAGCTTGCCAAGGAGTATGGGGGCAAGTTCTGAGACTCGAGTAGGATGAAGGACCATCAAAAGCATCAGCCTTTTCTAAGTGCTTCCTCGGTCTCCCCAAATGAACTGCACTTAGCCACTTCTGCCATAAGCATCCATTTCAGAGGCAGTGTTTTACCTCAGAGGCAGTGGAACTGAGAAATATAACATGGTTGAGAGTGGATATAATTAAGTATTAGATAGTCTAACTTGCCAGTATAATGGAAAGAATACTGATTTGAGACAAGAGACCTATATTTTAATCTAAACTTTATTGTTATTGTGTGTCTATATAACCTTGGAAAAGGCCCTAAGCTATTTGGTCTTGGTATTAAGACCAAATTGATCATATAACTTATTATTTAAATAAGGATATTTTTGAGAGTAAGAGGCGGTATTATTAAAATCTTGCCAGGATAAGAAGTGTAAACCAACAATTGGTGAGCCTACTCAGAGTTACATAGACATGATGAAGTAGTTAACTATTTTTACATGGGCTGAAACTTCCGCTTCATACTCATAAATAATTCTTGATTTAACTTGCTCTCAACGATACATCCTATCCTGCAGAATCCTAAGGAAAGTGAGAGGCCACTTGTGATGGTATTGTATATCATCTTCATCCAGGAAGTGAACTTTAGAGAGCTACTAAAGTGGAGCGTGGCGGGGGGCGGGAGTGGGGTGAGACTAAGAAGCAGGGAGAAGCAGAGAGTACGTGGGCTGAGCAGACAGCTGACAGGAGAAGGCCACAAGCGGACTGTGAGTGTAGGACAGGCAGAAGTAAACGCGCTTAAGAGGAGATTCATAAGTAAAGTCCAGGTGCTTGGGACATTTGCTATCACTCACCTAAGACTGTGAGACCAGTGACCCCAATGTTTCTGCCCCCTCTATCCGGAAGGTTGTTAACCAAACACTGGTAGGTGCCAGTGTCTGATAGCTGAGTGTTGTTAATGAAGATAGAGACATTGGTGGCTGGCATGGTGCCTGCAAATCCTACCCTGCCATGGAACTGGGGAGCACCATCAAACATCTGTCCACCCTGATACAGAATGACCTGTAAAAGAAAGCAACGTCAATGAACTGGCCACTGCATCTCCTGGACACATAACTATAACTACCTAGTAAACACTAGACGGCACTAAACTTTAGAAAACTTTATTTCTAACTTAGAGTTGCCGCCAAGTTCTGACTATAACACCTGTCTGTAAGTATCTAGGGATTCTAAATTCTTACATACCAAATTAGAATAACGTTATTTCCTTACCTAACTTATCAGAATGAAGAAAACATCTTTATGCTATGCTATTATCAGCCCATAAATATTTTTACTAGTTCAAAAAATTAGATCCAAATTTAAAAAAAAAATTTTAATGAGTACTGCTATTCTCATGCTTACTAGGTCGCAAAATAGATCACAGGTAATAACTGAATATACATGAATGTCATAAAAGGGAAGGAGAGTTATAAGCCCATGATTGCTGTTCTTATATCAATTTCTATTATCAAAGTTAACTATTCATGGGAGGGGACTCAGAGGAGTAGTGCTGCAAAAAGCCCTTAGGTCTGAGAGTGGGGGACTTGGCTCTATTCAACTCTACCAATAAATGTTTGCGTAACCATGGCCAAGTCTTTCTTTGCCTGTTGGACTCAATCATTGACTCCTAAAATGATGAAATTGAACAAAATGATCTCAAAGGCTCAGTCCAATTACACAAGTTCCATAGTTTAAAGAAATTCAAGAAGTTCCAATTAAATCTATTTGTTCCCCTACAGAGGAATGAAAAGGAGGTTATGTCCTCACCCTTTCCTGCCAGCCCAAATCCCTTCAGAAAATTCAGCTTATCAAATATTTTTAGGTGGTGATAAGTTTATTGAAGCAGGAAAGCTTCATAACAGAAATAATTAACTCTGGGAATGAAGGTATAGTCATAATCACAATGCATTAATCTTCTGAGCATTCTTTTCTACAGTGGCTATCACATATTATGGGTCTTTTGCCTATAATTGATACACCTTATTAGGAAATAACTTCTATTTTCATGTACCCTAATTTGTTTGAGACTCTAGTATGCCAGCTGGCTTTGTTTAAAATACTTGTAAAATTAGCCAAATAATTCAAGTACTACTTTCTTAATATTATCACAATCTTTAAAAAGTACTTTCTCATCCAACTAGTTTCCGTCCTTGCCTTTCAAAATGTATTTTGCTTTGGTATATAATCAGCCTTGGCACTCCCTGTCAGTGATTTTTTTTTAATGAAATTCCAGGTTCCTACCTAAAATTCTCAGAAAGATCTCCTATGTGACATCTGTTAATTTTTCTAAAAAGTCTCTTCTGATAGTTGACTTAAGGCAGCAGTAGGACTTAAAGCAGCACAGGCGGCGCACACTGAACGTGCCACCTTTCTCTAGAAATCAAACATGTACTCAGGATGCTTTCCTACCCGCCTCCTCGGGAAAGATTAATATCCTAGAGGCAGCACAAGATGGAACAGAAGTACCTACCTGCTCAGGTTGGTTGGCATTGGCGAGAGGAATGACCATCCAAATGACATTGAGGTTGATGAGGGCAGCACTGGTAGTGAAAGTACAGGGCAGGACTGCTGTCTGACCCCGGGCCACCTGGACACTCCCAGGGCTCTCTGAGACCTCCAGGGAAACCGTGACACCTACGGAATAACCAACAGGAGGTTACATGTCCATCCTTTCTGGACAGAAAGAGCTGTGTTTTCACATGATTAATAGTATATACAGACTATGACAGTCTTACTAAACAACTACTGACCAGTCACTGAGAATAAGTAATAGAAACTGTTCATCCCTTTCTTTACCTCTTAGTAACTACAAATGAAAAATAGTAGAAGCTACATATTCCATTTTGTAAGACATTATTTTGTATTTAGCCAAATATAACACAGGAGAATTCAACTAACAGGATTTGAGCAAAACTTGACACAGTGATGGGGATGAAAAATAAGGTTGATTTTTTAAAAAAGCATCATATTAGCACAACTGCAATATTAAACGCTTGTACAAAAATCTAACAAAATATTTGCAGGAACTATAGCCTGAAAACTCTAAAATGCTGATAAAATAAATCAAATAAGACTAAATAAATGTTCAGCTATGGAATGGTCATGAGGACTGGATGATTCAATATTGTTGAAGTGCAAATTTTCCCCAAAATGATCTATAGATTCAGAGCAATCCCGGTCAATATCCCAGCAGGCTTTTTGTTGATATTGACAAACTAAAACACAAGAAAATGGAAAGTGCTAGAATAGTCTAAAAGAATATTGAAAAATAATTTGGAGAATTCATACTATGTGCATACGAAGTTTACTATAGCACTATAATGATCAAGACTGTGCTACTAGCACAAGGACAGGATACCAGATAATTGAATTTTATACTTTAAATAAGCCCTTATATTTATGGTCAAATGCTTTTCAACAATGGTACAAGACAATTAAATGGGGGAAAGAATTGGTTTTTTTCAATAAATGGTGTTGGAACAATTGAATATTAATATGCCAAAAAAAGTAACTCAGAACCTTGTCTTATAGCACACACAAAATTCAACTCAAAATGTACCACAGACCTAGGCCTAGCCGGGTGGCTCAGTTGGTTGGAGTATCATCCCATATTCCGAAAGATTACAGGTCTGATTCCCAGTCAGGGCACATAACTCGGTCAGGGCATGTGCCGGAGGCAACCAATGGATATTTCTCTCTCATATCTCTCTCTCTCTCTCTCTCCCTCCCTCCCTCCCTCTCTCTCTATCTCTCTCTTCTCTCCCTCCTCCCTTTCTCCCTCCCTCCCTCCCCTCCGTCCCTTCTTTCCTCTCTAAAATCAATAAACATATCTTCAGGTCAGTATTAAAAATAAAAAATGTGACACAAACCTAAATGTAAGCTAATACTATAAATCTTCTATAAATAAACTTTGTGACCTTGGATTAGTTAAATAGGTCTTAACATAGCACAAAAACCATAAATCATAAAAGAAAACAATAACTGGACTTCATTAAAATTTGGAAAGCTTGTATAATTCAAAATATTTAATTTTCAAAAATAAAACACCAAGATACAGACTTAGAAAAAAAATATTTGTAAATCATATATCTAATAAAGGACTTGTTTAAAGAATATATAAAGAACTATTACAACTCCATAAAAAAAGACAAACAACCTATTAAAATGGATAAAATATGCTCAACATTCACTCATTAGGACACTGCATATTAAAACCACAATAAGATACCATTACACACCCACTGCAGTGGCTATAACCAAGACAAAACCAAGTCCTGACAAGGATGTAGAGAATCTGAAAGCCTCTCTCACTGCTGCTGGGAAAGTAAAATAGTTTCCGTTTCTTAAGTAGTTTAACATAAACTTACTATATAACATGGCAATTCCATCCCTAGGAATCTACCTAAAAAAAACGAAAATATATGTGTACACAAAGACTTGTCTGTGAATGTTCATAAAAGCATTATTCATATCATACCCCAAAATGGAAAAACATTCACCAACTGGTGAATGGATAAACAAAATGTGGAATATCCATACAATTAATCACAAGAAATAAAAAGCAACAAGCTACTGATACATGTTACAGCATGGATGATGAGTCTTTCAAAAGTATTTTGCTGAAAGAAATCAGATGCAAAGGACAGCAGCATCCTTTATTATTTCATTTATATGAAATGCCCAGCAAACACAAATCTATAGACAGCAAGCAAATCAGTGGTTACATTGGTTGGAGAGGAGGGAGGAGGGACTGATGCAAATAGGTTCAAGGACTTTTTAGGGTTATGGAAAACTTTTAAAACTGCACTGCTGAATTTTATACTTTAAATGGGTAAATTTTGTGAAATATAAATTATACTTCAATATTTCTATTAAAATTTAAGAGAAAGAAAGCAGTGGTTTACCAGAGCCAACTCCTGGGAAGCCAAAATCAACTCATCTCTTCTGAAAAGAATGCCTGCGCCCTGGGACTACAGAACAATATGGGACTAACAGGAGATTAAAATCTGTCAGGGAGAACCAACAAAGAAGCTATTCTAATCACGAAAAATACATTAGGTCCATGGCAGTATCTCAAACTGTTTTATTTTGGAGTGGTATAATCTCAATTCTCCCAAAAAGAAGTAACACGGTAGAATACTGTTATGATGACATTGAGTTTACAAAAATAAATGTACATAACACCTTCCTTCTATAGAACTTCATGTTCTTCACATACAGTCTGATGGTGTTCTCAGGAGTTAAATTTGCAGGATAAAATGTTTCATAAAACAAGCCCCATCTGAGGTGGAATACAAAGCACTTTATAACATTAGGGAAAGTCTCTAGGTTAAATAGCATTAGGGAAAGTCTCTAAGTTTTAAAAAGGAAAGTTGGAAGAACCTTGGGTGTTAAGAGGCAGAACGGGGAGGTAATTTGATCATAGAACCAGCTGACCAGAGGAACAAGTGCATCATCAGGGAGAAGTGGGTTAAGGGAGTATGTGTTAGAATGATGATTATAAACTAGAGGCCCGGTGCACAAAAATTTGTGCACGCAGGGGGGTCCCTCAGCCCGGCCTATGCCCTCTTGCAGTCTGGGACGCCTCAGAGGATGTCCACCTGCTGGCTTAGGCCTGCTCCCCGGGGGATCAGGCCCAAGCTGGCAGTCAGACATCCCTCTGGCAGCCCGGCAGCCCTC